ATTATGATACTGCACTAGGTATCGGATTGGGCTATCTTTGATATGCCAATCAGTGAGATCCTTAGAGGGGGTCAAAACCTGGGTATGTTGGGACAATTCGAGAATACATCTGAGTGGGTGATCATAGTGACAAGATCAGCCCCTTTGTCGGACAAAGTGAATAATCGGGGATGCACTCTCTCTGATGGAAACCTAAACTGCCAGCAGTTGATTTCAACCGTTCAAATTTGTTTTTGCAAAATATATTTATACAAAGATATACATATATATTATGGTTTCAAAATATTTGCAAAAGGTTTTAATTCCTGGGATCCATGTGAGTAGAGAGTGCAGCACTGCACCTTGCAGCTGAGGGAGAGGTCCTCTCTTGTCGGGCAGTGTTTGATCATTGTGGGCTGAGAGGTTAAGTGTAAGACCATTGAGAATCATACCTAATGGGCTAATCTTGCATCTGCCCATAGTCCTTGGGCCTTCATAAGATGGCTGGACCCAATGACCATTTAGTATAAATGTTGGGCCCATTAAGAGCCCATAGTGATGGACTCGGGGGTTCACTGTATTCAACAGTGAATTCGGCTAGGCCTTGTAACAAAGGCTAGGTTGAACCCATGTGGCTGATGTGTAGATCAATGATAGGGTCCCACGCCATACAAAGAGAGCCAAGCTAGCCAGCATTAAAGTGGAAGTGAGACTGAAAGCTTAATGAGCCTAAAAGCCCATTTTGAACTGGGTTAATTAGATTAATTAAATAGGGGCGGATTTGGGATTTGGATCAGTAGATAAGATAAGGGATTATCCTTATCCACTTAAAGAGTCCATATCCAAATAAAGATTTGGATCAAAGGAACTCCTAATTTGATTAGGAAGGTTGATCTTTATCTGCAAATAAGATAAGGGATTATCCTTATCACTTAAAGAGTTCAAATCCAAATAAAAGATTTGGATCAGGAAACTCCTAATGAGATTAGGGAATTGTCTCTTTAAAGCTATAAATAAGAGAGGAGGGCGGACCTTGAATACACACTCACTCAATACAGAGAGAAGACAACTCAGTTAGACTGATCTTGCCTTCTGCTCTTTTTCTCCCTGCTCTTGCCGCCCTACCCTATTCGATCTCCAGTTCTTGGATTGGACCAAGATTCGATCTTGATATTGTTTCTTGCCAGAAGAAACAATTTAGAAGTTGTGCCCACTGTCCCATTCGATTCTTGTTGAAGAATCACTAGCTCTTGGTGAAAAACTACCTGCTAATCCTGCCTCATCCTAAGTTGTGTCATCTCCAGTGGAGGGAGGATTTGGTACACTCTTTGGGGTGAACACCTACGTTGGGAGGTGCATTCTTGCGTGGATTTCGTATCAGGTATATCCCTCCCTTATTTTAGTTTCAGATTTGGTCCAGTTTGGTTACAATAACGAACCTTGAAAATGCAGTTTTCTAAATTGGGAATAGGATTCCTAGATGGAAGTAAAGAAATTTTTTGAAATTTCGCTCAACCTTCCTGCAAGGTTCGACCATCCAAGACCCAAGTAAGCAATCACATTTCCAGATTCAACCTCCGCCACCCCTCCTAACTTTTACCTCTAACAGCCCCTCACTCCTCTTCTACCAGATCCTTTTCCCTCCTTTTGCCTTCCTCCCACACCTCCCCCCACCTAAAACTTTTTTCTTGTTTCTTTCTTCTCTCTTGCTCCTTTCAAACCGTTCAATTGCCCTTCTGACCAATTTCTCCATTCCTAAGAAAAATAAACCAAGAGATTTCCCCACCTCCATCTGTCTCTCCACTAGCTACTCAATATCCACCCTTTTCTCCTCTAATCCTTCCCCCTTCAATACCCCTGGCCAACTCTCCTACCTCCCTTATGTCCTCTCCCGAGACCTCTTGCACTCTCACTCCCCCCCCCCTCCTTTCTCCCCAACTTCTTCATCTCGCTGAAAGATAATTCTTTTCCTATTATAGACCCTCCAATGCTGCTCACTCCCTTCTTCCACAAAATGACACTTTGCCTTTTCTTTGTCTCCCATGTCTACCTCATCCTTAGCTCTGGAAGCCTGTTGCTCTCTAACCTTGTTGACACCTTCCAAAGCATTTGAGGAAATAAATAAATTTGAACTCACCTCAGTATTCAGACACTACACCATCTCCAAAGTTATCAAACCATTCAGGATGTTCGCCTGCCTTTCAAGCATCGAAACCACATCCTCCTGGTTGTCACTGCCATAGTCACTCCCTATCTTCAACTTCTACACTCCTTGCACCTTCTCTCCATCATGAGAATCGGGACACAGAGACTAGAGACTAAACAATGAAACAATCTAGATTGTTGAAAGACCATTTGATAAATATCTAGACCTGTGAGCTCGATCAAGCACAACCTTTTCCACCTCCGATGAATCCTTCCGCTGCTTGTCGCTTGAACCAGCGCTAGTCTTCCCCAATTCCTTGGCCTCACCACCATTGAGCGCAACGAACTTCATTAGTCCCTCAAATCTTGCAACAACCCAAACTGGATCATCCATCGAGTTCCCCAAATCTGTAAAGTTCTTTCTAACTCTCTTTTTCCTAAAACCTCTTGGCCCAAACTTTCTTTTACAAAAATGTCCTTTTCTACCTGTGACCTCTTATGCTGGTTCGTGTTTTTAAAACTCTTTCTAAATCTCTTCCTATGTTTACCTGCTACCACCTATCTACTATTCCCCACCCCTCAACCCCTTCACCTGACTGTTGGGCTAAGACCTTGTTAAACTCTATTTCCACATGGGCAGCACCCAACCAACCATTTAAATCCGTCCTCTCTATTTGATCTTCAAATAAAATCATCTCTGCCATGTCACCCTTTTCTCCTTCCTCCTACCCTCAACTCTTGACTCTTGAATTCCCGATCTTCCTGTCTCCTCATCCCTACTGCCTAAGACCTCTGCCCCTCAATCTTCTCCCTCGTCTTCCCCTTCCTCTTCAACACCCTTCTGCTCTTCCATCAACCCTTTGTCCTCCACTCTTGAAAATGTTGTCTTCTCCTTTCACAATCACTCTCAAACCATACCTTTCACCAGCAAACTTAAGAACCATCTTGTGTTGAATAGCAGAGACCTTTTCATCAACCCATGGTTTAAAGTATCGATACGATACGCCCCGTATCAGGCATATCGTATCATATCTTTTGAAAAAGATATGGTCCAAAACGCCTGTTCCCAGGTGTTTCGGACTCCCAACTTTTTTTAATAATAAAGAACATGTTTTAACTTTTAGGATTCCCAAAAAACCAAAATTTGAAAAAGAAAAAAACAAAAAAAAGGCGTTCTGGCCATTTCTAAGTTCCAATACGATACGACCGATATGCGCATCGTATCAATACTTTGAACCTTGTTTCAACCTCAACTAAAATTCTCGCCATGTCCAGCTTCTCCCAAGACCCGTTCTTGTCAACATACTTCAGGAATCTTCCATATCTATTGCCTATTATTCAAAGGTGATAGTACTCAACACATGTAATGGGATGTTGATCACCCCAATCCACACTGCCTATCTCCATTGCCCTGCGGACACTTCTCCTGCCGCCGAGAACCACCAATCAAGTCATAGGTCAAGGTCTCTTTTTTTGTTTTCTAATGTTCCAAAATCCATTTCGCCCCCTGCCTATTGTGGAACATAAATTGCAGCAGGCCTCCATTCAATTTCCTCACCCCCATAGCCCTTTCCTTTCCCCACTCTAAAACTTCCAAAGCTTCTAATTTCTCAACCTCCATTTCTCTCTCAACAACTATGCTCACCAGGCTAGCATCAGCACCCTTGTTCCTTCATCTTGCCAATCCCCCTGACATCGACGTCCACCTACATCTCTAAATACTATTCTTTCTATCGACATTCACCTCCACCCATGTATTGCTTATCACTCTTGACTGTTTCTGATGCTTGAGAAGCTTGATGGTCTCCCCTTCCACAAAGAGCTGGTGCCAAACCAAGTAAGCTTACGAAACATTGGATCCCTTTTGTGCTTCAATCCATTTCGCATTTGGTAAGATAAAACTTTTTCACTTTTCAATTTTTGGTTTTGACTGATCAGATGAAGACATTGTGACATACAGTCATAACTCCAGTTGCTGCACTGACACCAGCTTCACCAAAAATTGTTGTCATTGCTTCTGTGACTAATGCAGTTGCTCCAATATTAACCACAGTTGTGCCAATAAGGATTGTTGTTAGGAACCATGTAACACTTTTTTTCATCAGCAAAAATAAATTTGTATTAATAGATTTAAAGAAGTGATTAGTACAACATGATCATAGGAAAGTTATTCCCTATTCTCAAACCCACATTACAAACCAGCCCAGAACAACATGATCACAGGAACCATGTAACATCACTATGAAGCACTCTGAAGACACCAATTTCAGGCTCTTTTTCAGCCAACTCACGCACCTGATAAGGAAACCAAAAATACAAGCCTTCACTCCCCAATCTTTTAGATTAAAGAACAAAACTAGCTTTACATTTTGGGTCAAACCATATGGTGTGTATCACATTCAGTTGCCTTTTTTTTTTATAAACGATTGATAATTTATTCATGATAATCAGAATGAAATTACAATACAGTCTGCCCAAAGGAGAGGCACGAGTTGGTACCTCTCCACAACAACAACAAAGTACTACATCAGACTAGGAAATGAAAGTTTACAGAGCTGCCCAGAATAAATGCTCCCTTGATACCCCTTGCTTAGCTAACCCATCCGCTATGGTATTAGCTGTTCTACCCACCCACTGATAATTAGCAGTCATATTCCTTGAAAACCAATTAGCTTTCCTCATAATATCCTTGTAGCACCAAATAACTGAAGCTGGATTTTTTAACCAACCCACAACAACTTTGGAGTCTCCTTCAATAAGAAAATTCTGAACTCCTAACTGGTCTGCAATCTGAATACCTTGTACTGCCGCTAGAAGCTCAGCTCTAATAGAGTCCCCTATACTCACGGAGCCTGAGAATAAAGCTAATATATTACTATCTTTATCTCTCAGCACCCCACCTATCCCTAATGGACCCGGATTTCCTTGGCTGCTACCATCAAAATTCAGCTTTGTCCAGCCTTCTGAAGGAGGCACCCACACAGTTGGTACCCTGTTCTTCCTGTTACTACTACTAGCCACAGCAATTCAGTTCCTCCAAATGTCACCAAAGGAATATATTTTAAAGGAATCCAATGATCCTAGCCAATGGATTGCCCTGGTCAAAATGCAATCCTTTACATTCTGAATATTCCTCTCCTCTTGGAAAATCCTCGCATTTATTTCTTCCCAAATTATCCACAAAGCAGCAGCTCTAATGCACCTCCACATTGTTTTACCAATTTTTGTGGGCCACAGGAAGGATCAAAGATCTGATCTACTGCTGTGGTCAAATTCCATCTGCAACCAAACAAAGCAAAGATCCAACCCCAAATAGCATCAGAAAAAGAACAGGTTATAAGTAAGTGAGAGCAATCCTCACCATTAGCCCTGCAAGGTACAAACCAATTAGGAGACAAACACGTAGAAGGATTTTAGGAGATAAAAGTTTAGACCAAATCTCCTTAGCTGGGAAACCCACTTGTCCTGAGGAAGAGCAAAGGGACTTAAAGAAGGAGGCACACGTGAAGTAACATTTTGGATTAGGGGACCAAAGTCTCACATCAGATCTTAAAGGGTCCAGAAAAACACTTTTAAGTAGTGACAAAAGGTCTGAAACACAAGAGAGTTCATGATCCCTCAAGCCCCTATGGAACCCAAAGTCCCAATTCAGAGAGGATGGAGAAACAGATGTTGGAAGAAAGTGAGAGATTGCTTTACCCTTGTAGTGAGAAAGGGAATAGAGAGAAGGGAAAATGTCCTTAAAGGCAGAATTGCCCACCCAGATGTCTTTCCAGAACAAAACAGAAGTACTAGAATTGACATCATACTTGATACAGTTGAGGAAAAAAGGAAGAATACTCTGAATTGCTTTCCAAGGAGTTGCCAACGTGGCTCAACACGACACACCAGCATCCCATCCATTTCCCGAACTGCCATGTATACTATCTATCACCTCATGCCATAGTCTCTCCTGTTGTAAGGGCCATCTCCACAACCATTTTCTTAGGAGTGCTTTATTCTTCAAAACTAAGTTCCCCAGTCCCAACCCACCCTCCTCTTTCCTCCTACACACTTCCCCAATTTATTAAGTGATCCTTTTTTTCCTCCCCTGGCTCCCAAAGAAAATTTCTCATTAATTTCTCCAACTTCTTGGCCTCCTTAACAGGAATCCTAAACACAAAGAAGTAATAAATCGACAGATTTTCCAAGGAAGCTTTCAGTAGTGTTACTATACCCCGTAAAGAAATATAGCTCCTTTTCTACGAGGCTAACCTTTTCTCAAACTTTTCCAGAACCGAGGCCCAAAAGGTGCTCTCCTTAGGGTTGGCTCCTAGAGATAGACCTAAATACTATAAGGGCCAAGAGGAAATGGGACAACCTAGACACTCAGCCACAGACTCAAAAGTCCTCTCATCCAGATTCACACCCACCACACAACTCTTTTCCAGGTTTATTTTAAGATTTAATACTCTCCCAAAGCGCTTTATCAAAGATTTGAGATTACCTATTGTTTTCCTATCACCTCCTTAACAAAAGATTATTAGGTCATCAGCAAACTATAAGTGGGTCACCTTAATCCCGTTCCTTCCTATCCTCCAACCTCTCACTACTCCTTCCATGTCTGCCTTAGAGATCAAATTATTGAAAACATCTGCAAATAGGGTAAAGAGGAAAGGGGAAAGGGGGTCACCTTGCCTTAACCCTCTAAAAGCTAAGAAGATATCCTTGACTACCCCATTAACCAACACCGAAAAATGGCAAGAACTTATGCAGCCCTTTATCCAATTACACCATCTAACTCCAAACCCACAGCACCCTAGGACCTCTAATAAGAAACTCTAGTCCACAAGATCATAGGCCGTTTCTAAATCCAGCTTACAAACAAAACCTTGCTTTCCGGACTTTCTCATATCCTCCACACATTCATTAGCTATTAGAATCTGATCTGTTATTTGTCTCCCTTGCACGAATGCTCCCTGGGCTTGACTAATGATGGAGGGTAGCACTACTTTAATCCTCAAAGATAACACTTTAGCCAGGATTTTGTAAATGCTAGTCACTAAACTGATCGGCCTAAAATCTTTAGGATTTTTTGCTTTTTTCTTCTTAGGGATTAGAGCTATGAAAGTAGCATTAACCCCAGGGCTTACTTTGTTATTATCCTCAAATTCCTTAAACACAGCACAAAGGTCTTCTCTTACCACATTCCAGTAGTCTTGATAAAATGCCATGGTGAAGCCATATGGCCTAGGGGCTTCGGATCTATCCATTGAAAACACTGCATGCCTAATTTCCTCTTCTTCAAAACTTCTCTCTAACCAGATTGCTTGCTCTTCAAACAGTCTGGGGCAATCTAGACCTTCCAGCCTTAGTCTATTATTCAATGGCTTCCCTACAATTGATTTAAAGTGATCCACCAACACTTTGGCTATCTCATCTTGATTTGTGACTTTTTCCCCATCCACTTCTAATTTGGCCACACAGTTTTTTCTTCTCCTCTCATTAGCCAACGCATGGAAAAATTTTGTTTTGTCGTCCCCTTCTTTGACCCATTTGTGTCTTGACTTTTGCCTCCAGGGAATCTCGTCTCTAAGAAAAACTTCTTCCAATTCCTTTTTTAAGCTACTTCTCAAATTCCTTTCTTGCTCATTCATAATTCTTTGGGATTCTTTGGAGTCTAGCTCACCAATCCTGGACATCAAAATATTCTTTTGATCCTCTACCCTTCCAAAATGCTTCTGATTCCACTCTTTAATGCTAGCTCTCAATCTCTTCAACTTTTTGTGGAACCTTACACCTTTTCACTTTACCCCTCTCAAATCTTCATTCCACTACTCACCAACCTTTCATTCAAAGTCCCAATGAGTCAACCACATATTCTCAAATCTAAAGGGTCATGGTCCAAAGCCTAGAGATTCTTGACCTAATAGGATAAGGCAGTGATCAGATGTAACTCTAGGTAGGGTTCTAGCCACCAAATTCCTCCAATGGTCCTCCCACTCTACATTAAAAAGGAATCTATCAAGTTTGGAGCAAAGGGGGTTTTCTTGGAAATTGGACCATGTAAAATTAGCTTGTAGAAGGGGTAATTCCTTTAGACCACAGGTGGTAATTAATTCAATGAAATTTCTCATGCTTGTAGTAATCGATCTTTGGGGATTATTTGATTTATTACAAAACCTAATTACGTTGAAATCCCCCTAGGCACCACGGGCCATCCCACAAGCCTTGAATTCCATACAACTCCTCCCACATTTCCTTCCTTTCTCTATAACCATTTGGCCTGTAGACATTAGTTAACACCCAAATGAATCTGTCTTCCACATTTCTGAATTTTAAAGACAAAGAGAATCTCCCTACAAGTTCTTCCACAAATTCTACAACATCCTCCCTCCACAAGGTCACTATCCCTCCCGAGGCTCCCCATGAGGGAGCTAAAGTCCAGCACACTCCTCTTGATTTCCACACACTTCTAACCCATCTTCTATCCAAATTTGCCAACTTGGTTTCTTGTAACATGACTATATCGGGCTTCTCTCTTCTCAACAAGTCTTTAATTGCCCTTCTCTTTCTTGCACTCCCTAACCCTCTCACATTCCAACTAATGATTTTCATAGTAAGACTACTTTCAAAAGCCTCTTAGTAACCCGGTTCCATCTCACAAAGAACCCTTCCTTCTCTCTCCCCTTCCACTAAACTCGATATCACCCTCTATATCTGATATTAGTCTCTCCACTTCTGATCTCTTTTTCTTTTTCCTTCGCACATTCCCCTCTATCTTTTTAGCCGACCCCTTGACTTCACCCACCTCCTCCCCCAACCTAGAACTTCTGTAACTCTCCTTGTTCTAAGGATTTACTTCAGGTTCCCTACCATCTAACCCCTCCTCCTTTGCTTTATACTCCTCCAATAATGCACAGATTTGCTCCCATTTTCTTTCTAACTCTTCCTCCCGATTTTTCTTAACCTCCAACTCTCCCTCACTCCTCTCACCTTCACCAGTGCTAAGCTCTCTGGTTTCCTCCTTGCCTAAAGATTCCTCTCGGGATGCTGGAGTATCTGTTTCAACCACAAGAAAAGCATCAGTAACTAAGACTAAATGGACAAAAGTACCTCCATTGTTGGGAACCAAATGAGCTTCTTCCAAGGGAACAGGACCGGCATAGGGAGGCAAGTCTAATCCTATCTCCTGTGGTGATCTGCTTAGGAGATTTTTCATAGGAGATCAACAATTTGTCAACTTCCGCAACTGAGTTAGTCTTCCACTGTTGTCTGCCTTTAGGCGATACATTACAGCCAATCCAGTAGAGTCTTTTCTTTCCAAACCCATAACCTGTTCTTCCTAGGCTAAGGAGTTAATCTCCCTTGCAAGTAAAGACAGAACCTGAGTCCCAACTGTAGTTGCCTTCTGTCGTTCCATCGTACTCTTCAGGCCTCCCCCAAAGCTTTGAGAATCAGCTCCCTCTTCCTCCTGAAATAATACTTCGTACCAAAGTTTTCTTCTTCAGAAATGTCCTTTGATCTGCTTAGATCAATGCTACCCAAACTCTCAGAATCATCCAATTCAGAATCGCTAAAGTCTTCATTCTCAGAGAGCTCCCTCCTTTCCTCTAAATCACTTCGTTTAACACACCTTGGATTATGCTTTTCTAGCGACGGTTTCTCTAATCTTACCATCGGAATCAACTGTTTCGAAACTCCAGTATGCGCAGAGTCCAGTCAAGAAAAAAGCACATGCTTAGTCACGTGCCTTTTTAAGTATTTTTCTTTTGGGTTGGGCCCCTGAAATGGGCTCCCTGTATCCACCTGACCCACCTTAAGTGGGCTTAATTTTTGCGGCCCATTTAAAGCTTCCGCCCCTGATCTTTTATAAGGGCCTTCTTTAGAACGCCCAATACCCACTGCTTCTGATTTAGCCGCCCAACTTTTAGTGTTTTGGGCCCACCAAACCTAGTTTTATCTTTTTCCCTTTGGCCCAACTGTTTAATCTTCCCATTTTCATCAAATTCTCCTAATTCTTTCTCGTCTTCTCGCAGAATAGCAGGTGTAATAGCTGGTTGGGATAGGCGCCACTTGTAACTGCATGGGCATAAGATTTGTCAGAGGCCCAGCAGCTATCTTGTTGCGCACGTTTCAAACTTTCCATCTTCTGCAAGTCTTTTGAACTTCCCAAGTTTTGTTCGCCCTTTTTTGTATAACTTTCCTTTCCTTGCAGGTCCTCCAATCCTTTGCTGCCACGCAAGACTTCATCTTCCTCCTTCCTATCTTCCCTCCACAGTTCGGCTTCCATGGAGGAAGCTAACCACACCTCCATGAAAACACCTTCCACCTTCACATTCACTTTCCTGGGAATATCCTCGGGCATGACTCCATTCAACAAAATAGCTGCAGACCTGAGATCTCCCCAGAATACACCCTCCAATTTCGCTCCACACCACTGCTATCGCTTCTGCAACTTCATCCTTCCAAAGATGGAAAGGTAAACCCACGATACGCACTACCACCCCATTTGAAATCGAGGATACCTTTGAGTTGGAAGAAGGGGACCCAAAATCATCCTGTAGACATACAGCCTCGACTCCTAATCTGTTTTCAAGTGGATCCAGCAGGGCTTTGCACGTATCAAAGGGTGTAAGGATATATTCTGTTCTCAACTTCAAATGTTTTGTCAAAGAACCAGCAATTTCCTTCCACCCTCTAGATGGTTTATCAATTTCGACAATCAGCTTCCTTGTCCAATCTCCTCTTTCAGCTGTTACTCACAGAACTGCGTTAGTTCCAGTTTGCACCAAGGTAGAGAGGCACATTGCCTAGGAGATTCAAGATTGACTACTGTTCTTGAAATCTCCTCTTCTTCCTTCTTTTCTGAGCCTCTTTTCTTTTCTGCTTTCACTCTTGATGAAAATTCCTTCAGAGCTTTTACTTATCCATACACCCCCGACTCCTTCCTTCAGGAAAACAGACCAGTTGTTTCCTATTCTTGTCAAAAAACTCTGAGAGAGCTATGAATGACCCCTTGTGATTTCTTCGGAATTCCACCAGATATCTTCTTCCCACCTTCGTGGTGAGCTCTTTCCAGCTTCTCTCCTTCCCTCTTGCACTTGCTTTTGTTACAAAATCTGTGAACCATTCTACCACGTCCAACCCAACCAGCAGTACTAAAGCCTTCTTAGCTTCCCTGATTTTCAAACTAGTCTGTCCTCTGATTTTTAGTTCCTCCATCAGAAAGCTTTTCGCCTCCACCTTTAGAAATCTTCTCCACCAATTGGCCTCCACAAAGTTCTCCACCATCTCTCCTCTTCTCTTAATCTCCTCTTCTTCTCCATCGTCATTCTGGGCTAATGCTTTTCTTCAACAAGATACCTTTTTTCCCATTCCCAGGTGGAAGTATTAAAGAGATTCCATTCAGTTGCCTTGAACAACATGGATCTGGTACACCAGATACAATGTATGGAAGAATGTATGTATGTGTGTCCTTTTCTTCCAGTAATTTCAATATGTTAAGATATAAATGTATCTTGTTTATTAAACAATTGAGACTACTCAATACAGGAAATTGCAATAGCCTATGAATGTGAGAGAACCTATAACCACAGAAAGATTTCCTAGACATTTGCTGCTGTTGATTTTTACCTAACATAACCCACACCTTTAAAGCCACCTCTCCCTCCACAAATACTGATAAGGCCCCAAAACACATAGGCCAAGGCCCAACCCAGAATGATGTCCATGAACCAGTGAACCCAGTTGAGCATCCTTCCCCTAGGGGACCACCAATCAGATTCATTTATGTACGCAAGCCACGTCAGGAGAGTTATAATAAAGTGTAGCGGCTGCTATGCACAAAGGTAAATGAACATGCATCGAATGAAAGGGCCTTCATGTTTTCATACAAAATATCTTCCTCGTATTTCTCGGTGGAGGCTAGGGCTCCCTCGAATCAGCCCTTAAAGGTGAGCAATATCTTACCACATGCCCAGACCAAAATACAAAAATAAATAAAAATAAAAGGTGTTGAGAATGTAAGGGCATTTATGTCCTTTCGTCCTTTTGTGTATTTGACCGCCTATTCAAGGGCCCATTTGTAATTTTCTCAAAAATGTTAAGAAGGCTCTTCAGGTGTGAACACTAACACATCTGACTTCTTCGACAAGGAGAGCATCAGAAGATCAAGGAGAGCATCCGCTACTGGTCGTGACTAACAGATGAACCTGCTGATGTCAGCACGCCACCGGTTGGCATCAGTAGCCTATACAGTCGGTGGCGTTCATTTGCGGTTTTGGCACCCCTTGATGCGCCTCATTTTTAGAGGAGTTTTGATATACATATCATGGAGGTTTGAAGCTCTTTTACACTTTTCTTGGAGTTTACGGTTTGCATGCTCACATGGTGGGCTGGTTGCTGTTAAACCCACTTGCATTTGAAGTGTGGTGATTTTCTGAGATAATAGGAAACAGTCTCAGATTTTTTGGAGCCCTAAAATTATTTTTGGGAATTTTTTTCTTCCCCTATTTTGCTGCCAGTACCTTTCTTTCCTCTGTTAATTGTTGTAGCCCGTGTTTAACCTTCAAGGAAAGGCGTTTGGGTGTTCAGCTAGTGTTGGGAGATTGTGGTGTTGGTGAGAAAAGTGTTTTTAGAGGGGTGGTGATCAATGGATTCACACAAGGATGTGTACATACCTACCTATGTCCTCCCGGGAAGTAATTGTGGTGATTCGTGGGGATTGGGAGAGAGAGAGAGAAAGAGAGAGAGGGAGAGAGAGGTACGGTTGAGAGGAAAAAAGTCGCTACTGGCAACTGCCAGTTTTCTATTTATATTAACTTCATAAAAGAGTCTGAAATTACAAGTATGCCCCTAGCGACATATCCTATAAATAAAATAATAAGAAAAGGAAAGAAGAAGAAAAAAAACAAGTAACTGTAATTGTAACTGTAACTGTAACTATTAAATAAGCCTTACAACACTCCCCCTCAAATTGGGCTGAAGATGTCTATCATGCCCAGCTTGTCACATAACTCATTGTGCCCGAGCACGGAAGCCCCTTTGTAAGGACATCAGCAAGTTGTTCCTTGGAGTTGACACAAGGGATGCAAATTTCCCTTTTTTCCAGTTTCTCCCTTATGAAGTGTTCGTCCACCTCAATATGCTTGGTCCTCTCATGTAGGACTGGATTGCTAGCGATGTTTATTGCAGCCTTGTTGTCACAGTAAAGGGACATAGGGCTGTGAACAACAACTCCAAGCCCCCCTAGAAGGTTCTTTAGCCAAAGGACTTCAGCCACCTCATGTGCCATAGCTCTATATTCAGCTTCAACACTTGACCTTGCTACCACACTTTGCTTCTTGCTCTTCCAGGTCACCAGATTTCCTCCTACAAATGTGCAATACCCACTAGTGGACTTTCTATCATCCACAGCTCCTGCCTAATCAGCATCTGTAAAGGCTTCCACCTTCAAGTGATTGTGTTTACTGAATAGTAGGCATGTTCCTAGATATTTCTTCAAGTATCTAAGAACTCTCTCTGCTGCCTCCATGTGTGGCTTCTTAGGAGAGTGCATAAACTAGCTCAGGACCCCAACGGAGTAGGCAATGCCTGGATGGGTCATGGACAGATAAATCAGTTTTCCCACTAACTTTTGGAACTACTTCACATCTTTCAGAGGTTCACCAACACAGTCACCTAGCTTGTGGTCCACATCCATAGGAGTATCTGTCGGTCTTACACCTAATTTACCTGTATCCCGTAATAGATCAAGGGTGTATTTCCTTTGGGAGACAAAGATACCCTTTTCTGAGCGGGCAACTTCAATCCCAAGGAAATACTTTAGGAGTTCTAAATCTTTCACTTCAAATTTTGATGTAATGAATTGTTTCAAGTTTTTATCTCTGAGCTCCAACTTCCTATAATGATGATATCGTCTACATACACTACCAATACAGCAACATGCGCCTGACATCTCTTCACAAAGAGTGTATGATCTGACTGACATTATTTGAATCCCATCTCTTGAACTGCCATGTGAAACTTACTGAACCAGGCTCTGGGAGACTATTTTAAGCCATAGAGAGACTTACATAGCTTGCACACCTTATTTTCACTCTCCCTTGGCACAGAATCCAGGAGGCTGAACCATGTATACTTCTTCTTTTAAGTCACCATTCAGGAATGCATTCTTTATGTCCAGTTGATGCGGTTCCCAATCAAAATTAGCAGTTAAGGATAGGAGAACCCTAATCAAGTTCATCTTAGCCACCGAGGCAAAAGTCTCATCATAGTCAACCCCATGTACTTGTGTGTACCCTTTGGCTACTAGTCTTGCTTTGTACCTTTCAACTGTTCAATCTGCCTTGTGCTTAACTGTGAACACCCATCTGCACCCCACGGGGTCTTTCCCCTCTAGAGGATCCACTAATTCCCAAGTCTGATTTTTGTGGAGGGCATTAATCTCCTCCTTCATGGCATCTACACATTTAGGGCATTTTAAGGGTTCTGTAACATTTTTTGGAACAGGGATGCAATCAACTGCCGATAAGAAAGCTCGGTACGAGGGATAAATGTGGTCATAGGAGACAAAGTGGGTAATGGAGTGTTTGGTAGTGCAGGACCTGACTCCCTTTCGTTGGGCAATAGGGATGTCAAGGT